AATCTATATTCATTAATTTTTGCAGTATTGTGGCAAGTACTACATTTAGTTTGACAAAGTGTAAGCAAACTGTGTGTGAAAAATACCACTGGGCATCTGCAGGTCTGGAAAGGGCTTGTAATGGCTAACACAAGCTTAAATTGGAGATTGACTGAAGCTTTTTTGGTGAAGTAAAATTTGAGAGTGAAGAATCCTAGAGAAATACCTAAAGAATGTGATAACCATTTTTGGGAACATTGCCTGGCCTGGCTTCAAGGAGGAAGGGCTAGGAGAGTGATTAAATGGAATGAAGAGGGATTTGGGGTGTTCAGTGTGTGCTGCAGTGCTGTGGCAATTTGGTCACAGTTTCTTCAAGTGGTGCTTAAAGTACAGTTTAGTTGCATTGCCATAAGGCTGTAATTAGCTCCAGGGAAGTTGGAGATAATGGTAAACTTTTTTCCTGGAGTTCAGAGACAATGGTAAAGCTCTGAAATTCAAACTTTATGTATTGGATACGTATGGCAGAGGCTCTTCAGTGATCTTAACTGGAGATAAAACTGTGTACAAAAACCTTTTCATGGGCTGCACAGAATCTGTTAAGTAAGAAGAGGTCTGGGAAGGCTGGGAAGGTGTACTTGTGATGAGGAGAACATGAATCATCTCTGGCTGTTCTTAAGTGCTTTAAATGTAGGTGCTGGTAGTTTGGCAGCATTGCAGAGGTTCTGAAAATGGCAATTTTATACCTCTTGGATAGCAATGTTTGCAAGAAAATATTGTCAGAGGATCTTCAAATATATTGTTACACTTGCAGAGGAAAATCCAATGTCAAAACACCTCTCACATGACTCTGCATTTCCATTGGGTTGATCTAAATTATTTAGACCTACTTTCATTTAATGAATGTTTTTACCAACTGGAATTTGGTTTAAGTGGCTGTATAAGCAGTGACTATTTTGGCTTTCTAAACCTGAGAATTCTTTTCAGCAGCAGCATCAGACCAGTGGATTTCAATCTGAAATTCTGAGTGCATCATGTTAACGTTGTAAATAATCTCTCCTTGTTGTGAGACTTGGATTTGAGTTGGGTAAATTTTGAATGACTGTGCCATGGGGATCTCAGAAAGTATTTGCCATTAAAACAGAACAATGCTGGAATGTGTCCTTGAGGAGGGAGATGTGCTGACTCAGTGGTACCATCTCTGGTGCTGTGCTCATGTCCTGGCACACACAATAGCAGTGGTGTTGTCCAGCAGCCTCTCTGGGGGTGTCTAAGTGTGAGAAGCCCATGAGACCAGTGACGTGTTTTTGCAGCAAAACAAAGAATTTTCAGCATTAAATGACTGTTTCAGCCCTTACTGCTGTATCCCTACTTATAAATCAAATTTATTCATGCTTCAAAGGGCTGGATATTTTAATTAACTGTGCCCTCTAGCTGAGCTGTGAAACTCCTGAACTGTCTGCAGGTTTAAAATCTTTTAAATAGAGCTTTTTGCTTTATTTCAATTTTGAGCATGTCCAAACAGCTTGAAACTAGTTCATTTAGATGCTTTGTAGTCCAGGAACTGTGGGGCAAGTAAAAATTATATTGAATTCCTTTGCTGACTGTGCTGTGGGCAGGATCCTAAAATTCAGGTGTGCAGGAATAAGTAGGGTTATATAGGCATTTATCTCTAGGGTTATTTGTGTGGTTTTCAATCTGAACTGCCACTTTTGAGAGCAGAGTTTGGATATAATCATGCCAGGATGCCTTGCCATGCCCTGTGGAATCAGTCTCTGCACCAGAATGTTGTGGATCTGCTGGGGAAGACAATGACCATTCTTGTTCCTCAGTGACCCTTCCTCCATCACAAATTGAATTGTGTTGGAATTTGATTCTAAGTGGTTTTTCTGGGGAAAAAAAAAAAAAAAGGACAGTTACATTTTCTGCTGTACATTCGAGTGATTTGTGTCTAAAATCAGTTTGATGGTTGAAGCTCTCAGTGGGGATTTCTCCTTTACCATGCAAAAAGGAACTGCATTTTTATTGCATTTGAAACAGACAATATTATGTCTGGATCCTTCGCATAGCTGAGTGTGTTTGTTACAAGTGTAGCTCAGGGTCTCGCTAGTCAGGAGTTTGAAATGTTTCCCTTGTGGAAAGAAATGTTTCCTCGTTTTTTGATGTGTCTTTAATAGTGCTTCAATCCCTCTTCCTTTCCCCCTAGAGGAAACCACTTCTCCGCCATGATCCTTTATTTTCCCCTTGCTGCTCTGGGATGCAAGAAGTATTTTTGTGGGGGGTTAGGAATTTTTTTTGACTTAAAGCATGAATAGCACCGAGCTGTGAAAAGGATCTTGCAGAATCTCTATTCATTCTTTCAGAAAACTCCTCAAAAAAATCCAGCAAGGCCTGGGGTCAGTCTCTGCCTGCAGCACAGGTTCCCATGCTGGGCTGGGAGAGTGCTGATGCCACCAGCCCCTGTTTTTTTAGGAGCTGTGCTGACTCCTGTCTGCAGCCAGGCCTGTGGGCAAGGCAGGGCTCAGCTGGCTGAGGCTTCTTTACAACACAAATGTCACGGAGAGGAGATGAATGACACTGTGTAATCAAACTGATTTTCATCTTGTCACATCCGATGAGCGACTCAGTTTACAGCTGGATGGCAAACCTGAGAGGAAATGTTGTTGTAAGAGTGTTTTAGCCATTTTTTGCATCAAATTGAAGGTGTGCATGAAGTGACCTAAGAGTTCTGTGCTAAGAAATGCTTGTTTAGGTGTTCTACACATCCTGAGGGAGGAGACTTTCCTTAAGGCATTCCATGGTCCTCATGTATTGCTGCTTGGTTGGAGCTGGGAGAACATATTCTTCTCCTTCTGGGGAGTGGAAATGGAAACAGATCCTAAGTTCTGAAGGTGCCTAGTCAAATATTGTATGTATTTTATGTACAGAATAGTTTAACATACTTAAACTGTCATTTAAATATCTTGGGAAGCTTTTGATTAACTATATAATGTGGATATGATACAATGGTGTAAAATACTTAGCAATACAGAAAGATAGACACTAAAACTCAACAAAATCTTAAAATTCTACCAGGTTCTCACTGTCTTTTAACTGTGCTACACTAGAAAGGAGAACTACAGCATTCCTTTGGGATACAGGGTTGCTGTGTGTTTTCTGGCTGACACAAGTTCCACAAACCTGTGCTGCCTGTGAAATGAGATGGTTTTTTCACCTGTAAGTGCAGCTGAGGGAAACACTGAAGTGCTGTCCTAGTCCCTGTTTAGCTGAACAGTTCAAACATAGTAAATATAAGCTAATTTACAGGTTGGTCATCATTCTGATCTCAGTATGGGGGGGAGAGAGAGAGTTATTTCAGTCATGTATCTCAGTGCTGAATGGCATGAGAAACATCTGGCAGAGATTGAGCCATGGAGCACCTCAGTTTTACACCTTAAGCAGCATCTGGAGACACAGAGCTATTTACTGGAGAGTTTGTTTATGACTTAAGCTCAGGAGCCAGAACTGGACTGCCAGAACTTGCTGGCAGCCAAGTTGGGGTTGGTGCCAGAGTTACAGGTCACTTCAGATGAGAGGGAACTGACCAGTTTTTAAACAGCATCCCCTCTCCAAAGAGGTAATTGCCCTATTAACACACTTTTCCCTCTCCTCACCATTCCCAGGCTTTCTGCCTAATCTTCCCTTCCATTTGCTTTTCCCTATAGCCTTAATATCTCACAGAGAATGTTTGGCTCAGTCACTGGAGGGAGCAGGGAGGTGGGTGTACAAGAGTTGAGATGTGGAACGTTTCAAAGCTTGCAGTTGGAATGTCTCTTCTGGCTTATCAGTGGTGTCAGCCACCAGTTGACACCGTGTAAAATTTTGTTGAATGATGCTGTTGGCAAAACACATGAAAATCTGGGATTATATTTATATTCTGTGTAAGAATAGAGTGAAAGAAATGATGTGGGTGCCACAAGAGGCAGCAGATTGGGTGTGCTAAAATAAAGGGCTGATTCTAAACCCAGGGATTACCTGAAGTGAGTTTCAGGGTGAACCCATTGAGAGCTATTTCAAAAACTGGTTCCTTTTAAAATGAAGACCTAGAAATCATAAGGTCACTTAGTTATAATTCCACTTCAATATTAACCTGTAAATTTGCCTTTTTAAGAAAATACTTCTGTCTAGCTATAGTACCTCATGTTTTTCTGAGGCCTCTCTGGAATGGAGACTTGAATGTGTCACTGCAAGTTGTTGGGAATGTGTGAGGATTGCCAGGAGATCTGCTAGAAGTGATTTTAAGGGTACAGGTCTGCTTTGTTGTACAGGAATTCAAGTCAAAATTATGGAAATCAGGAAAAAACCCCAAATGATGTGCTGGATGATACATAAAAGGTGCTGGTTTGGGGGTTTAACAAGTTGTATTTGCAGGGGAGTGAAGAACAGGGTGAACTAAAACACAGATCCAGAAAATTGATGTGGAAACAGAAAAATTCCATGACGATTCTAAAAAAATAAAAACCCCACAACATTTTTTTTCTGGAACTCAAAAGGGAAGTGTTAAGTTCTTTAATTGTAGAAACATGGTGGTTTCAGTGTAGTAGGTAAAAATGGTTTAAATTGTCTAATATGTCTTCTTTAAATAGAATAGTGTAAATGAAGTCAGATGAATTCTATTTTCTGGGTAGTTATTAACATGGAATTTGGAAAATCTCTTGTTTAGCAGTTGGTGTTATTAAAAAGAAGGAAAAGGAAAAACAAAACCTTGATGAACTTCCTAAATACTTCAAAATCTTACAAATGACAGCGTGGAGTTAAAAGATTAAATCATATTTAACATAACTAAAAACTCTAAAATTGTAACAGTTGCAGCAATTCAGCACTGGAATTTGAAACTACAACTTTTGCAAAGCTTTTCTGTGTAACGCGTGCGTCTGTGCCTTTTCCTGATTTGCTCCCATTCAGCCTTTCCTGTTACTGACTTGGGTTTGTCTTTTCTCCCTTTAGAGAGTTTTGAGGTGACAGTCACCAAAGAAGGTGATAAAGGGTTCTTTCTATCCCTTTTATGAATATTAACCTACTAACTTTGGTTATGAAATGGGGAATCAGCACTGAAACAGAAGATCCTGTCATGCTCTTTTGTCCCATTTATTCTCCCAGTTTTTTTCTATTTTAAAATGTATTGATTAAAAACTGTTATGTAACCAAACCCTTGGTTAGAAATATCTGTAAATCAGACATCCATTTGAACCGTTTGGGGACACTGTTCTGTGGACACTGAAGAAGTTGTTTTGGGGGAAAACTAGCCTGTTCTGATGTTTTCAGTCCTATCTTACTTCTTTGGGACATGTGAAGTTTTTTCATATGCTTTGTAAAGTAATATTGAAGTGCTGAAGCATTAGAACAACTTCCCTGCACTGCACTTCCTTCAGGATGTACTTCAGTAGTTACAAATCTGAATCAAATGCCCTTTTTGTGAATCCCTCTAGACATGTTAACAGCAGGAGTGTGTTCTTGGTACTGTGATACCAACTCTAATGGCTAAACAGTGGTTTATGCCAGTATAAGAAAACCACCTTCAAAACATACTGAGTTACAGAGGTGAAAACACAATGTAGGTGATCAAACAGTTTATTGAGTGGTCTCTGTTAGCACAGCAAGGTGTGCTGGGCTTACCTAGCTGTGCCAAACAGAGTCTCGTTGTGCAATCCTAGGCTGAGATGTGTTTAAAAGGTACCAGGCACTTCTCTTCCAAGTTTGTTAGGGTGGAGAGTCTGAGGAGAAGGAAAACCTACTAAATCCTGTCCTGTGAGAGCTTCCTTGCCTAACATTCGGCCTGTGTTAGTAGATAGCTGTTGAAATGGATGCCTGAGAAGTTGGTATTTCTACCTTTCTCATTCAGTAGTTTGTTTTGATTCCCTAATTTTAGCCAGGTCCATTGCACAGGAAGACTTTGTCCTTTGATCTTTTGACAGAATTTCTGTAATTATGGTGCTGAACCTGTACTCGAAGCTTTTTCATCCCTTGACTTGTAACTGTGCATTTTAACCTCCTGCTCTGGTCAAAACAAACAAGCTGCCCAGCTATTCCCAGTAGCTTGGCATAGAAGATATTACCAGTGGCCTTGGCTGTTATGCTCACATAAGATCTACTCTTACCCTAGAGCTATCTCAAGTACTCCTGTGAAATGCCTGTCTACATTTCTCTTTCTCTTTTGTACTCCTGCATGAATGGATGCAAAGTAAACAAGTTGCTTGGAAGGCAGAAGTATGCTTCTTTTTTACTAAAGTTCCCAGAAAATCACCCATTTTTAAAGCACAAGTGCTCTTGCTTTGTCCACAGCCCCTCACAAACCCCTGGCTGCAAAATATTTGGTCTTTTATTTTAAACAGCCTCTTATCATGTTGACTGGTTCTAACCTCTCTTACTTTGGCTCCATAGGTGAGATTTGTGGATTTAAAATTCACGGGCAAAATGTTCCCTTTGAAGCAGTGGTGGTGGATAAATCCACTGGTGAGGGAATAATTCGCTCTAAGGAGAAACTTGACTGTGAACTGCAGAAGGACTACACGTTCACTATCCAGGCCTATGACTGTGGCAAGGGACCAGATGGAGCAAATGCCAAAAAATCCCACAAGTAAGTAAATTTGGGGTGGGCTGAGGGGAATCATAGAATCAACCTGGTTGGAGAAGGCCTCCAAGATCATCCAGTCCAACCCTACCGTGGTCACTAGACCATGGCACTAAGTGCCACATCCAGTCTCAGCTTGAAAACCTCCAGGGATGGTGAATCCACCACCTCCCTGGGCAGCACATTCCAATGTCTGAGCACTCTCTCCAGAAAAAAATCTGTTCCTAGTATCCAACCTAACCCTCCCCTGGCAGAGCTTGAGTCTGTGCCCTCTTGTCCTGCTGCTGGTTGCCTGGGAGAAGAGACCAACCCCCACCTGACTCCAACCTCCTGTCAGGGAGTTGCAGAGGGTGATGAGGTCTCCCCTGAGCCTCCTCTTCTCCAGGCTGAACACCCCCAGCTCCCTCAGCCTCTCCTCATGGCTCTTGTGCTCCAGTCCCTTCACCAGCCTCGTTGCTCTGCTCTGGACCTGCTCCAGCAGGGAAGTTTGGTTCCAAATGATCTCCTATTCATGGTGATTTATGCTGTGTATGTTCAGAGTAAATGTGGACCAAAAGCAAAATGGATGTGAACTGCTTGGATATCCCTGGACATCATTTTACAGCTAATCTCTATGATTCTGCCTCATCCCTTGGTGTCTCTGAATGTGCATTCAAAAATAGTGTGAGGATAGAAGCAGGAAAAGCATTGATACAGTTAAAATCTGACTTGAGTTGATACAAGGAGTTTTCATGGGATGCCAAGCCTGGACATTGTTTCAGAATTGAGTTTCTACATCCAAAAAACTGGTTCAAGAAGCCAATCTATATTAAGCTTAATAAAAATACAAAGAAGGCATGTTGCTCTCATTTCCAGACAGCTTCACCAAAAGAACCCAAGATCAATAGCACGAGGCTCATCCCTGCCCAGATTAAAGAATGGGAACAAAGCAATCTTTAGCTAATCTTTATCTAAAGAAAAACCACAATATAAAAGGCTCTCTAAAAAAATCCACTTGAGAATAGCTGTTGAACACCCTGGTGTAAACATCTGCAGAGCATGTGGCAGAGGAAGGGTGGTGTGGAGCAAAGAAGGGCACAAATAGGAGGAATGGAGTAGTAGAGGTCAGTCTGGTGACAAACCCAACCTTACTGCCCTATGGCTGTTTGCTTCAAACAGGCAGCAGAATGTTCCCTCTTTAAGGATTGCACTTCTGGAAAATAGCTATGGCCTTACACTGTGGTGCTCAATTTGACTTCTGGAAGAAGATTCCAAAGAGAAAAAAGATCAAATGTTTTGTTGGGTTGGCTGGAATTACATTTTTTTGTACCTTCTCCACATTGTAGAATTTGCCTATATTTTTCTCCCTGTGCTGATTGAGATAGAAACTTTCCTCTGATGGGTCTAGTAAAAATCAGGATGATCCAAATTCATGGCTGTGTAATGAGCATCCAGCAGCATGTACTGCTTCTCCCCCAGCAGAGTGATGGGTTTACTCAATCTGCACCTACAAACCACTGCTCACATTTCCTTAGCTGGCTGTGTTATGTTTCCAGTGGTTTTTAACCATCTTGGAGTGTAGCTCTGCAAGTCAGGAGTGACAGTGTTCAGAGCCAGCTTGGATGAAGCCTTGAGCAGGGGATTGGGACTAGATGATCTCTAAGGTCCATTCCAACCCCTTAACAATGTGTTTGGTACAGAAGGCCTTGTTTTGGTGGTGTTTATTTAGCACAAAGGATAAAATAAAACCTTAAAGATTTATCTTTTTAGCATGAGCATTAGAAAACTGTCTTTATGGGAGAATCATAGTGGTTGAATTACTTTCCTTTGTTGACCTTTTCTCCTTGGCCATTGGCACAAACTGCACTATTTTCCTATTCTGTGTACACCAGCAATCAGTGACAGGCGTGAAAGGATGGAATTCAAGATCCAATCTGTTTAGGCTTATCTGTCTAGGCTGTATGATGTGTTAAAGTCTATCTGCCACTTCTGTGCTTCTTCTGTTTAAATTGTCTGATTTCTTATTTCTGCATCCAAGAAATAAACCAGTTTTCCCTGACTTACACAGCTGAGTACTTTATTAGCAAAAGAAAGCCAATCAAATGCACTTGAGTGAGCTCTTAGTCTAAGACTAGTCTTAACTGTCATTCTTGTTCACTTGAAATAAAAATTGGGTGTTCATATCAAATACTCTGACAGCAGCAAAGAGCTAGGATTGTACTGTTTAACAGAAGTGAAAGCCTATTTTGTCACAGCTCTATTTTGTTGTATTTCTGTAAAATGGCACCGATTTGATGGCTGCAATAGAAGGGTTTGAATTTTATTTGCAAATAAACAGCAGTAGTAAACAATAACCTCAGACTACACTGAATTATATAGCAGCACACTGGGAAACACCCACTGCTTTCCTCCTGGTTAGGGTAGTGAGATTGTTGGCTTCATTAGTCATTGCTGCTTCTTCTGGGGGCTCAAATTCCAAAGCATGGCTTCATGTGGCAAAGAGGGAGCTGTTGGATTAGATTCCTGGCAGGAACAGGACATTTGCAGTCTGTAGAGACCTTTGTGTTTCCTTTCCAGAGCCACAGTCCATATCCAGGTGAATGATGTTAATGAATATGCTCCTGTGTTCAAAGAGAAGTCCTACAAGGCCACAGTGATTGAGGGCAAGAGGTATGACAACATCCTCAAAGTGGAAGCAGTGGATGCAGATTGCTCACCACAGTTCAGCCAGATCTGCAGTTACGAGATTGTAACTCCTGATGTTCCTTTTGCTATCGACAAGGATGGTAAGGACACGGGTGGGATGGAGTGGGAATTACTGGAATTGCCTCCCAAAGAACAGGATCCAAACTGGGCAGCACAGCAAGTCTGTCATTCCTATCCTACAGCATAGCTAAGCAGAGGTGTTCCCTCCAGCAGCTTGAATTGATAATGGGAAGGGAGATGTCTTTCAAAGCCAATACCATGTGCTGTCGCTGATGTAAGGAGCAGATGGGGCATTGCATGTGTGTTGCTTGTAAAATGCTTTTCAAACTAGAGGAAGTAGTAGCTGTATTATGTTTTAAACCAGCTCTTAGTAGGCTTTTTTAGTGCCTGTAGTTTTCCATTCTGTATTAGGATAAGTTTGGCTAATTCACTTTCAAAAATTGCAAATTCAAAGGATTCTGAGTGTGCTTTTCACATCTGAGATGCTCTTTGGGGCTCTGCAGCTTACAGTATCCTGGCTATGGGTTCTGAAGTGCAGTGATTTGTTTAGGTCCTTTCCTGACCTCTGGTGATCTATGGACCCTTCGGAATGTATAGATTACTTCTAGGGGTTCAAGCAAGCTGGTTAAGCAAAGCAAACAGTTTTTAGTGGGCTTTACTTTGAGTTGTTTGGGGATCCACATTGCCAGTGGATTATTTTTGTGGGTTTGCAAATTAAAAAAGGTAGAGAAACCTGGCATGTGCCAAACAATTTATGTATCAGTTACCACCCATGAACAGTTTCATTTTGAGATAATAGACTGTTAAGAGCCTGAGGATTATATACCTGCTGTTCTGTGTGTGCTCATTCTCTGGATTTGGGTAATTTTAAGGGGGTGGGCCTGCTGCCAGGCCTGATGCCAGGCCTGATGTGAGCCTGGCATTGAAAAGTCAAATGGTGAAGGGTAATTCCCTTGCAGATGTGTCTGTTAAGGTCTTGGTACCTGTATGAAGTACACAGGTGGTACCTGGATCCATTTTCTGCAGAGTGACCCTGAGAAATTATATTGATGTCTGATTATTGCTTTTTTTTTTTTTGTGTGTGTGTGTCAGGTTACATAAAAAACACAGAGAAGTTAAGCTATGGTAAAGAACATCAGTATAAACTGACAGTAACAGCCTATGACTGTGGGAAGAAAAGAGCTGCTGAGGATGTGTTGGTTAAAATTAGCATTAAGCCTACATGCAAGCCTGGCTGGCAAGGTTAGTTTGCTCTCCTTCCTTCCTGCTCTTAGCATTTACCTGCAGCTAAAGAGGAGAGATTTTTAATCCTGTTTCTTTGGGGAAATGTACAGGTTGGAGCAAAAGGATAGAGTATGAGCCTGGCACTGGCTCCTTGGCTCTGTTCCCTGGGATGCATTTGGAGACCTGTGATGAGCCAATAACCTCTGTTGAAGCAACGGTTGAACTAGAAACCAACCATATTGGTAAAGGCTGTGATAGAGACACCTACTCTGAGAAATCCATCCACAGGCTCTGTGGTAAGAAAGCTTTTGTTAAAATGAAAGTGCTCTCTCTTCTTTATTGGTTTCTCTTTGAATTTTATGTTAGCCCAGAAATCAATGAGTAGATCTGGTCTTCATTTGCATGTAGTTTCCTTCAACTCCTAGCAGGCAGTAAAAGGCATGAAATTGCCTGAAGGTGACTTTTCAAATAATTCTCAAATGTGGTAAAGAATCTCTTTGTTCTGCCTCTCCACGAGCTTATAGAGACTCATAATTTCCCTCGCATGAGATTCACGTTTGAGAGCTGGAAGAATGTTATCTGTGTAGAAGGGTATGGCCATTAAAACCTCTCTGGTGTTCTGGGCAGGATGGGTGTGATGGCTGCAATCTAAGAAATACATGGGGGAAAACTAGATGAGAAAGTGGTTTGGAACAAAACAGTTCACTTGCATGAGATAAATTCCTACTGTGCTTGCCCTAGGAATGAAGGCCCTTGGCATCCACCCATGCTGCAGTTAAAGGCCTTAGGAAAAGCTTATGCATCCTTTATAGCCAGTGTGGGAGAGTAGAGCTTACAGGACCAATTATCACTGATGATTTATGTCTTGAACTTCAGATGAAGGTGTGAATAGGTGTAACCCCAGAGGCCCAAGCAATTCCTTAGCTATTCCCTGACTGATTGCATGACACTGAGCAGTGGGGAAGGGTCAGCAAGCCAAGAACCTGCTGGGTGTCATTGCTTCTGACTGTGCTGTGATTGCACAGTGAGCTGAGAGGGGATGCCAGTGCACTGTCTTCACCTGGGTGGGTGTTAGTGTTACTACAAGTCCAGTGTCAAGAGAAAGGCATCAGATCCATGGGCCTGAGGGGCAAGTGGCATTGATCTCATGGTTCCTGAGATAAAGGCAAAAGAAGGTTTTATAGCTGTAGAGATTGTAAGCAAAACAATTTCAGTGAGATCAGTTGTCTATCCAGGAGTTAAATTTGTGGAAGTCATGGTGATATTAGATGTCTATAATTAGTGCCACATTATTTCAAAGAAGAATTGCTTGATGGGTGATGGTGATGGATAATCCTGACAGCTGGTGCTGAAAAATTAGTGCTGAGAAAAAACAGTTTGGTTTGAAACTAGCAGTGGTCTGTTAAGTTTGTGTTTTCATTGGAGCATTTGTGTTGTAGGTGCTGCTTCTGGCACAGCTGAGCTGCTTCCCCCTCCAAGCAGTGCTGCTAACTGGACTATAGGACTTCCAACTGATAATGGACACGACAGTGACCAAGTCTTCGAGTTTAATGGCACTCAAGCTGTGAAGGTTCCAGATGGTGTTGTCACAGTCAATCTGAAAGAGCCCTTCATGATTTCAGTCTGGATGAGGCATGGGCCTGGAACCAAAGAGAAGGAGACGATCCTGTGCAATTCAGACAAGACAGGTTTGTCAGACTTCACTCACAAACACTCTGATTTCAGTTTCTTCTCTACCTTAGGGTTGTTTTGTTGGTTTTTTTGGGGGGAAGTGAAATGAAGTGACTTGAAAAATCAGTGTTCACTGTGCATTGGTTTGGCCTTAGATTATCTTGCTGCAGATTGGCTTGTTTTTTTAATCCTATTTCAGTTTACATTATGCACTTCTTTTGCTGTGCTGGATGACTTATTCTGGCAATGCAGTCTCGAGTTTGCATCTCCAAAGATAGCCTTGTTCTTGATGCTGCCTGAAAACATTAAGACACATATATCGGGTCTAGTGACAGCATTTGCTGCTGTATCTTTTTTTTTTCTTGGAGGATATAATTTCTCTTTCTCCAGTGATGAAGTTTTTTGTCACCCTGTGCATAATTTCTGTCTCTGTGAATGCTACAGACGCAATAATTTTGAAGATGCTATTAATAAGAAGGAAATGTGATAGCCCTGTTTCCATAATTGCTGTCTAATGGGGGTGAAAGAATTCTTGTCTTTGTCAGCAGGAGCAATGCATTTGTCCAGCATGTTAGAAAGAGACTATTTAAAATGCTGCTTGGGTTTTCAAAGGAAACTGCACTGAATGTATTTTAAATTTCATTTGAAAATAAGAAGGATTTGGCAGTATTTGTAATACTCTGAGAGCATTTCTTTGAACAGGAGAAAAGTGACAGTCATTCAGAACTGGGTACAAATATTCTCCTCTTTTCCTACCTTCATTGTTCCTGTTAATCAAAACACAAACCTTTGCATTTGTGAAAGTAGGTGAACTGGAGAGAGAAAAAAAAGGCAAATTTTAAATACAGTTTTTCCCTGGTTTAAAGTACATGGGAAGCAAACCTTCAGAACAGCTTTTCCTTTTGTATTCCTTGGTTTGCCCTAACCATGGAATTCTTGTGAGAGCTAGCTTCTGGTAGTATGAATGTCATTTGCCTTCATTTTAATGGTACATTATGAAATGTGGGAAGAGTGGATGGAGGGCAGTTGGAGGGAGAGGCAGTTTGGAACAGATTGCACTGGAACAGTGCAGGTTTCAGTGCTGTCAGGCTGAAAGATCGACAGGATTTTGGTGTAGTTTCATTCCCTCCTTTCTTGACTCATCCATGCCATGGATGATCTAGCTAAAATGTTTCTTTTCCTTATTCTTACCTGTTTCTCTAGCATCTCACCTCTATTTCTTTAAAGTGACAAATCCCTTAGAGCTGTGACTGTAGTTGCCTCTGGGCAGAGTGTGTCCAGCTGCCATCAGGTGTACATGCTCCCAGTCAGTAATGAGATGCAGTAGAAGGTACTCATTTGTAACAAAAAGGCTCTTCTGTTTGCAAATAGAGCTCTTTTTCTCCTGCTGACAGGTTTATCTCTGGCTCTTCACTCCTGTGCCTTGGTTTAGATTGGCTCTGGAGATAGACCTGTCTATTGTGCATTCTGTTGTGCTTGTGGGTTCTTCAAGAACGTTTGTGTTCCCAGTGCTCTCACCATGCCTGGCTTACTCCTGCATTTGTTTCTTCCTATCAGTTACTCTGAGGTTGAAGTATGAAATTGCAGAACCAGGTGGGTTTTGTGGAGTGCTTAAGGTTTAGAGGAAATAACACCCTTAATTCCAACTGTTGTGCAGATATGAACCGACACCACTACACTCTGTACGTGCACAACTGTCGACTCGTCTTCCTCTTCCGCCAGGAGCCCTCGGAGGGCAAAACATACAAACCTGCTGAATTCCACTGGAAACTGAACCAGGTGAGTTTGGAAGCATGCTAAAGTGAAAACCACTGGAGACTAAACTCCCTCATACTCTACTTTGCAATCAATACTTCTTGCAACGTCAGTGTTCCCATGTCATGTTTTATACAACCCAACAACACGTGTTTTACGTGTGCTCAAGTGTCAGATTCAGGTGTACCTTTTCATCTTGAATATGAAATACAAAATACAATGTCAGTCTTCCCACTGTGTCAGTTATCCTCACAGAGTGCACTGTTGTGTAGAGTGCAAACCAGTAAATGTTCCAGGTTGTTTAAAGAACTTCTGAGCATGTGACATTTTTCCAGCCCTCTTGGATCCAAGGGATGAAATGACTCTGTGTCAGTTCTTTCAGCTGCTTTAAGTTGCTATTGCAGGTGTGTTTTGCCACCTGAACAGTGAGTTACTTTCTAACAGACCTAACTATATATTAGTTTTTGTGCAGGGTTTTGTGTATGCTGTTCTAATAATGAAATACACATATATGTTGTCTTTGTGGGAAAATTGCTACTTCCCAAACAGCTTTCACAGTAAATGATTCTCTCATGGAAAGCTTTTTCTATTCAAAATGGTCATGCTCTTTTTCCCAGTCCCTCTCAGCACATACGTGTCCTTTATCAAGTTGTGTTGCCTTATAACAGCACTTCAGGATGTGCTTCCATGTAGACATATATTTTTAGATTGAAATGTGCTGTTGTTCCATATAAAAATGAAAGGAACAGAAATCTGTGGAGCTTCCTGTGTTGGCAACAGAAGAAAAGAAGCTCTTTATTAATGTTTGCCAGTGGGTTTGTTTTCAGATGTGTGCCATGTGTGTGGAACACTCAGGATGGCTGTGCAGGCTCAGAGCTTGTTGGTGTGGCTACATGTGTGTGTGCAGAGTGTGCATCAGACCAGTTACTCAACTGTAATGAAATTTTCAAACTCTGTTCCCTCAGGTGTGTGACAAAGACTGGCATCACTATGTGGTCAACGTCGAGTTTCCTGCAGTGACTCTCTACGTGGATGGTGTGTCCTATGATCCTTTCCCAGTGACTGAGGATTACCCACTTCACCCTTCCAAGATAGAGACACAGCTGGTGGTTGGAGCATGTTGGCAAGGTAATTATTTACAGTTGTTAATACTTGTAATTAACTGCTTTTCATGAAATCTTTGTGGTTAGCCCAGAAGTACAGAGCAGATCTTTTTAGGGCATTAAAGAGAACTTGTTTGGCCTTTAGCAGATTATTTTTGCTCCTAGCTGGTATCACATATTTCCTCTTTGAGTCAGTTTTTCCATGAGTGTTTGTTTTCTCATTGGCCACAGGTGTGTGTGAAATACAAAGCTGCTCCCCAAGCTGTTTTCCAGCAAAGTGACTTTTGTGGTGACCATGGGAACACAGAGAGCTTATTTTTAATAACAGCCCTAAGAATACATCAGATCCCTCAGATTACTAAGCAGAACACTTAATTTCCAAAAGGTTGGAAAGCACATTGTAGGCAAAGTGCTCTCATCAATGGAGTCATGACCAGCAGACAGTTCAGCAGAGCAACATAGCAAACCTCTCTTGGATATTTTACCATTTCTGCCTATAAAAATAGACATCTCCTTTATTGTTTGCAAACAATGCCTTAAAAGACAGCATTCTTCAAGCTGTGGAGTGCTGATTCATGTGCTGTAATACTTTAAAACCTGCTCTTCAAAGCTTGAGGAAAAGGAGAAAAATACATCTGAACATGGATGCTGCTTGCCAGAGAGCTTTGTAGCAGAGCTCTTGCTTCACAGTCCTCAACTGCAGTGTTTGCTGATTAAATTACACCCTTGCTGGTACAAAGCTGATCTTTCTGGTTGGAGATAAAACACTGTTAAATCATTCATGTTTTATTTAGTTCCCATTATAGACTGGAGTTGCATTCTGCAGTAATGCATAGAAGCAGGTGGAGTGAGTGACAAATGGGAAGCTTTGAGACACTGTAATCAAATTAAGTCTCTTTTCTCTGTGAGTTTTAAGGCTTTGAAGTGTGAATGAAGGTTAAATTATCTGTCCTCTCCATCAAATCTATTATTTTGTGACAAGTTCACTATCATTCAGTGCTAATGTTATTTCAGTGCTAAATTCAGCCTGTTGTCCCTTCCTTGCATCAATTAATGATTTCCTCTGTAATTCATCTCATTCTGGCTGTGACTGTCCAGCTAACTCTTCTAGCTCAAAGGGAACCTGTAATGTCAAGAAACTAGAGCTTGAAAACTCTGTTCCAGCTAAATGTATGGAGTGTGTACTGACTTCCATGTGTGTTCTGCATCCCAACAAAAACATGGGCATTTAGTTGAAAAACTCCTGTTTCCTATTGGCACCATGAGATGATTCTTTAATTTCTTCTGACATGAGATTTCTGTTTAATGGCAGCAGGCTGAAATAGGAGTATAAAAGTCTGGAATACAAGAATTTGAGGTGCTTCCTATGAAAACTCCACCAAAAGGCTGATTTTTAGGGGATTAGAACACATGGTGAAAAGAGTTTGCCAAAGGGATGAAGTTAGTGATCATCCTCTGGGTCTTACCAAGGTGTTAAAATAAATCAGGCTGCTCTAAGTTATGTATGCAGCTCACCTCCAAGGAGAGATTTTATGCTTCTGAAGAAGTTCTCACTTTTCATTTAAAAGATTAAAAGCTGCTTTTCATTTTTGGTGCTTCCATCTGATAAGTTGCTTCATGCATATGATACTATTGTTATGATTACGAAGTCTGTGTTGGTAAAGGTTTCTTTTCATCAGCTTTTAATACCTTTTGGTGATTTGCTGTTTTAGGCTGGATCCCACTTTAATTTCTCCTGAAGTAGAGTTAACAGAGCTGTGTCTCATTACCAGTAGTGGTTTGTGTGGGGTTTGCTACCTTGGTTCAGGTGTTCTCCAGTTTTTACTGCAGTTTGTGTTATGGGACTGGTTGGGTTATCTCCCCATGACTATTATGGTCTTGTAACAACACAGTGATGCTTCTTCCCTGCATTGCAGCTCTTTGAGAGAACTCCTAACCCTTGAGAAGTTGGGTCAAATACCTGCAGGCATTTGGGGGAAGTGCTGCTTTGTTTTTTCTGTGCTTAGAGTTTACCAAATTGTAACTACTTGGTCCTTTCCCTGTTGTCCTGTTCTTTGTCTTGCTTTTCTACAGAGTATACAGGAAATGAGAATGACAATGAAACTGTGCCCGAGACCTCTGCAGGTTGCTGGAGTTTTTTCCCTACTGTTTTGTTTCATTTTTAAGCCAAGACATTGCTTCATCTCACACACAGCATGAAATGCAGGCACTGCATTCAGGCCATTGACCTTCACATAATCCTCTCCTAGGCTTGTTCCTTCATTGTGCTTCTATTTGCAGAGCTTCATCAGCTGACTTTTTTGCTTGATACTTTGGTTTTTGGTTGGTTTTATTTTATTGCATCCAAATGCACATCCATGTACAAATTGCAGCTGTTTTTTCATTGCAGTGAAGTGGTGTGAATAATTTGCTTATGTAAAATATCAGCTTAGAATATCTTTCATCCAGTTTTGTTGTAACATAAATCCACCTCATCCTATAGAAATGTCTGTGTTGATGCATGTAGGGATGTGTGTTTATCATGGAATCATTCAGTGCATTGGGAAGGATCTCTGGAGGTCAGGTAGCTCTGCTGCTCACTCAGAGCAAGACTCATTGCATATGTGCTGCTCATAAGGACAGACCTGTAGCTTACAGTGGATACTCACTTGAGCAGAAATTGATAGAAAATTCTATTTACAGTGAATGGGCAACAAGGCTTTGGCCACCAGGAATTTCAGGTTGGCCTCACGGTTTCATTTTCTTAGACTTTTTTAGTGATGGTTCAGTGGATTTTGTGTCTTGAGTTGTGACACAAACTTAGCATGTGTTTCTGGAAGTGTATTCAAGGTATGTACTCTTTCTGGAAAGTTTCAGAATTCCTGGAATAATCTGGATGGAATTGACTAAAGGTTTCTAGCTGTGCATCACATTTTAATTTGGCAGGGAGGTAGCAGCACCCAGGGCTTAGCAGCTGGAGCTGCACAAATGCAAACTGGAAACTATAATTTGTAACAGGACAATCCACCACTGAATGTTTTTTTGAGTCACACCAGGGATCTTAAAGCACTCAGATTCTTTAGAAAGATGTCTAAGCTCGTTTTAAAAATTGGGTTGCTTAGTAAGTGATGGCCTTGAAGTACAAATTTCCAGGAGGTGTTCTGTGGCCCCCGTGGTTTAGCAAGGTCCATTAGGTGATCATGGTAATGTCATCCTCAAAACAATTAAGCAGTAAGGGATTAATTGGGTTGCAATTCATCAGATTTAACCCAGATATCTCAAAATTAGTTAATGGCATGAGTGACTTAGTAGCAAGTAAGTAACTTACTTGCTAATTTTGTACTGCAGCTCATGGTACTGGTTGGATTTTCTCTTATGGTTTCCATCTGTTGTTTCAGATCCACATGAACCCAAGTCAGTCAACACTGACCATAAGTTACCATTAGTTACAAAATTAGGTGCTCACTTGAGCCCACACAGAGAAAGCAGCACCTTTAGAAAGGGGCAGGTAACTCTTAGGCAGCTTTTCAGAATGAGCTGCATCACTGTGAAGTTCCTTTCTCCACTCTGAGTGCAAAGAGAGCCTGTAGGGATGGGTTTAGGTGTAGTTGACTCCCATCTAGAGCAAGAGTGAGTTCTCATCCTGCTGGGCAGTGCCTTTGTGGAGATGGGAGTAGTAGGAGGTGTTAGCTCAGCAGGAGGATTCAGGTTTCATGGCTCATCCCGTGGCTCTGTGTTTCATTCCTGAGCACCACCTCACTGTCTGGGGTTTCTTCTGAAGTGTTTGTCAGTTCAGGATGGCCACAGCTGCCCTGAGGCCATGTGCATGGTGAACTGGTGAATTCTTTATGCTTGACCATAATCACAAGGTTAACACCCAGAATGGACAAAAACTAACCTGCATGTCTGTAATACCTGTGGTGCCAGAAGGCATAGTTGTTGTTTTACAAAAGGAAAGGTAAAAAGAATCAAAACAAGTAAAGATTTTTTTCCCTCCCTGAAGGTGGAGAACTCCGCATGGCTCAGTTTTTCCGAGGCAACCTGGCAGGTTTGATGATTCGTTCTGGCAAACTGGAAAACAAGAAGGTGATTGATTGCCTGTACACCTGCAAAGAGGGGCTGGACTTGCAGATGCCTGATGGTGTGGGCAAAGGTGTGAAGGTAAAGTTGCATATGGACAAAGGGGAACATGTGTATTGTTTTGCTCATAATCGTGACAAGTTTTGCTGGCAGAGTTAGGGGTGTCCCAAATAAAACAACCTCATCTCTTGTGGCATTCCATCCCTGGGAGTGCTCCAGGCCAGGTTGGATGGGGCTCTGAGCAATCTGGCAGAGAGATGAGTTTTAAGGTCCTTCCAACCTAAACCAGTCTGTGATTCCATGATTTTGCATTAAAATTACATGCAAACCAGGAAATCTTTTATGAACATGATCTTAGTGGAGTTTTTTACATGCAAACCAGAAAATTTTTATGAACATGATCTTAGTGGAGTTTAGAATGAAAGTTACTGTGTTCTCCTGAGTCTTGAAGAGACATTTCTGTATCTTGAAGAGACATTTCTGTAAGCCTCTGTTTTACCAGATTGTCTAAATCTTGAAGAGACATTTCTATAAGCCTCTGTTTTACCAGATTGTCTAAGAGGTTCTTAACAAGCAGCTTCATAAACTGAGACTACCTTGCATGACTTACTTAGTAGCAAAGTGGTGTGAACAGAGCTAAATTTCTCCTTTTTGTTCACTGTCTTGTCTGTATTGCTAGAATCACAACTATATGTACCTAGATTTGTTCTTAAAGAATGAAATATTTGCTATATTCCCCTGGAATTAGGCATGGCATAGGGTGGTTAGCCTGTGTCCTACAGAGCCAGTGAATAATGACCTTCCTGCTTTGAATAGAGATGTAATTATCCTGCATTTACCAGTGCTGAGCTCCAGTTTGAACTGCAGCTCATGTTACTGGTTGGGTTTTCTCTTATGGTTTTCATCTGTCGTTTCAGATCCACATGAACCCAAGTCAGTCAACACTGACCATAGAAGGGGATGACATTGACAGAGTTGACAAGGCCATGCAGCACATTTCCTACCTGAATTCTCGCCAGTTCCCAACTCCTGGGATCCGGAGGCTGAAAATCACCACTGTGGTCAAGTATGTCCTAGTGCTGAACTAATGCATCTGGTAGTGGAGCCTGAAGTGATGCTCATGTACCTCAGCTGTGATAAACAAGGGAGTCTTGTTAGGAGCTGCAGTGACAGGACAAAGGACAATGAGTCCAAATTAAAGAGGGGAAATTTAGGTTAGATATTAGGCAGTTTTTCCCTGTGAGGGTGGTGAGACACTGGCACAGGTTGCCCAGGGAGGTAGTAGAAGCCCCAGCCCTGGCAGTGTTCAAAACCAGGTTGGCTAAAGCCTTGAGCAACCTGCTCTGGTGGGAGGTGTCCCTGCCCAGGGCAGGGGGTTGGAGCTACTTCATCTCTAAGATCCATTCCAACCCCTAAAATTGTATGAGTCTATGTCACCATCACACACTTGAATACAGCAAATGTTTTGTGCACCAGCACTCAGTTTTCTGCCTGAGAATGGAGTCAGGAGTGTGTAAGGCAGGAGGAAGGTATTGCCAGGGTATTGCTGTGAGTGTATCTCCAGTGTCACAGCCATCATTAGAGGTGTCACCTGTGGCTGTTAGCCAGAGCCTAGAAATGGGGCCAAATGGTATCTGTAAGTAAAAGTTAATTGTAAGATTGCTCCCTTGGTGGGGATTTCATGCTTTCCAGTGCAGCTGATGAATTTATCTAGGTCTCTTGGGTTTGAGACAACTTTCAAAAAAGGTATAAAGCAATTAGTGTAATTGTGCCTCCTTCACACAGCCCTGACTGCCAAACTGCTTCTGTCCCTCAGGTGCTTCAGTGACGACGCCTGTGTCTCCATCCCCTCAGTGGAGGGCTATGTCATGGTCCTGCAGCCAGAGGAGCCAAAAATCAGCCTCAGTGGCATCAACCACTTTGCTCGTTCTGCCTCCGAGTTTGAGAGTTCTGAGGGTGTTTCCCTGTTCCCTGAGCTTCGCATCATCAGCACCATCACACGGGAGGTGGAGCCAGAGGGAGATGGAGATGAGGATCCCACAGGTAACACCCTGCTCTGCTCAGCACTTCTGCTACCCTCACCTCACTGATCCCACCGGAGGATCTTGCAGAGAGCTCTGGATTTCCCTCTTAATACAAAATCTAATAGGGGGAAGGAAGGTGATCCTGAGCTCTAGGCTAACAAAAATGGAGCTGGAAATGATAATAAGCCCATGCCATTGTCCTCATGTAAATATCCCTTGTTTGTAGTTGTATTTGATTTTCAAGATCATTCACTAAATACAGTGAATCCTTTGTTCTCTTCAGGCCCAGATTTTAATCTATATTCTGGAAGAATGTGACATTTCCTAGCTCTTGAGCTCCTGCCTGCTTCACCTGTGATTCTCCTTACAGCTTTGACTTTCTCTCTGCTCTTTTAGTGCAAGAGTCTTTGGTATCTGAAGAGATCATGCATAACCTGGATACGTGTGAGGTGACAGTGCTGGGAGAGGAACTCAATCAGGAGCAGGAAAGTCTGGAGATCGACATGACACGATTGCAGCAGAAAGGCATCGAGATGAGCAGTTCCAACCTGGGCATGATAATCACAGGTGGGAGCTTTGCTGCTGCTCTGGCTGGGAACAGTGTGCTCAGAGGTGGTTTGTGACACCTGCAAATACCTCATTTGTGTTAGAATGTCAAGCTTGGGCTATTTTTAGAATTCCAGGCACAACTCTTTTAGTGGAAAGCTGTGATTCTAGAAAAGACATCATTCTAGAGAACCCCCTTGCTCTTCAATCCTGTCCCAGATTGCAGGTCACCTCTGGGCTGTGGAAATGGAGTTACACTTGGCCTCACAAAAGACTTGTTCCTTGTGCAGATAATGCAGTGCCTGGGAGCATCATTCCTTTCTGGTTTATATTCAGCTCCCCAAATCCCTTCAGAGACTAACTGGGTCTAGGATGTTATCACAAGATCAATCCACAGGATTTCAATGAAGTCATATATGTGTCTGTACCTGTTCTCTAGTCACTGAAAATCCATCAGCCAAGAAAACCTACCTGAGGAAAGGGAGCAATGTTTGTCCAGTTTATGATGTTGTACCAGTCTTTTGCACGGTAACTGTATCACCTGTGTGTTTCTCTCCCCAGGGGTTGATACCATGGCTAATTATGAGGAGGTTCTGCACTTGATACGCTACAGGAACTGGCACACAGTTTCTCTCTTTGACAGAAAGTTCAAGTTAGTCTGTTCAGAGCTCAACGGACGCTACGTCAGCAACGAGTTCAAAGTGGAGGTATGGGAGCTCCTCTGGCACTCTGAGAAGCTTTGGAGCATGGATGGACTAGGGGATGGAAGCTGTTGCCTCAATTAATAGATAATTGATCAGCTGCTGGTTTAGGTTTTGCCTTGTAAATAAATATTAGTGAATTGTGAGCATTGCAGACTGTATTTTATAGGTAAATGTCTTCTTAGTGCTGTAAGCAAAGCTGCCTGGACAGAGGGGAAGCTTGTTGTGTAGAACTGCTATGGATAATGGAAATGTGAAGGTGAAAAGGTTGGATTGGGAACACAGAGTGTTAATTTAGCAAATGGAGGGAGAGTGATGCTGCCAGAGAGCTAAGTGGCCTTTGTGGATCACTTCTAGGATTCCACAGATGTGCTTGCTGTGCCCTGTACTGCTTTGCTTGTGTCATGCTTAAATTTCTGATCCTAAGGGCTTATGTAAAAGCACAGACAGGTTAAAATTGCACTTCCTTTGCAGCAGAGTACAGGCTTATCATTATTTCATATGTTTATATCAATTATGAAAGTGCAGCAGAAAATGACATTAAGGGCACCAAAATTTCCAGTGCTGGAATGGGAAGTTATTTCTATTGAGAGGAACTGTCTCTGCACCTTTCAGCTGTGAGCTTGAATTGGTCCATTTTAGAGCTGACACTGGAGCTGAGTGTGTTTGCCACCACTGATGGTGGTGGTGTGCTGGGAGGCTCCAGTGGTGCAGAACAGGTATTTTTGTGTGCAGGAATGGAGGTTGTTTCCTGAGGAAATCCTGTGAGCCTGAGTTGGGATCTTACAAACTGTCAAAATGCAGATGCTTTCCTTGTTGTGTAGTAAACACAACCTCTCCTCTGTCCCTGCTGTGCAGTGGGCAGGTACTCTGTGTGTTCCAGCACAGGAAGGGCACATTTAGCTCTGCTTGTTTGGCAAGGAAACATCAAATATGCTGTGCAAGTGATGAGCTTACAGTTGTGCCCAAAGGCAGTGCTGAGTGTGGGTTACACTTGACAGAATAGTTTATTTTTTAGCACTTTCCTACAGACCTTTTTTCTTTGCTGTTACCTGAAAATGTACAGCAGAGTAAGAAAGGGAATGAAAGGTAATTCATGTGTTTGGTATCTGTGTGTGCACTGTTAGTTCAGGATTAACATGGCTGGTTACCAAACTAGATAACAAACTGCCTTTGTCTGTGTGTCTGCACCGATTTGCCAGACTGACCAAACCAGATCTGAGAGCTGTGAAACCAAAGGGGGTTGTGACAAGAAATTACAGCAGGGCTGGTGGTCCCCTGAGACAAACCATGGCTGTGTTGAAGGAGGATTGGATGCTTGTTCTAGGAAAACTCTTGGTTTCTCTCTCTTCAGAATTAAACCATTGGATTTCTGGCATTTAACACTTGGTTTTTGTTCCCAGGTGAATGTTATCCACACTGCCAACCCGGTGGACCATGCTAACCACATAGCTGCACAGCCCCAGTTTGTTCACCCAGTGCATCATTCCTTTGTTGATCTCTCTGGTCACAACTTGGCAAACCCTCATCCCTTTTCAGGTAAGGATTCTCAGCCACCAAGGTTGAGCTGGTTGTTTTTCTGCTGCTGAAATGTCCAATTGCTGCAGAGAGGATTTTTTTCCCCACTGTATTGGACTAATAATCCAAGCAGCTACTTGGTCCAGTTCTCTATTGCCCAGGGAGGAGTGGAGACCTATGAAATTCCTTTCCTTGCCAGCAGAAGAGCTTCTCTGTTGGTGTGTGTACATTGGAAAATGGGAGGAGCTGTAAGACCTAGATAAAGGGCTGTGAGGAACTGGGACAATGTTCTGAATGGCACGAGGGAAGAACTGCAGTGTTATTCCCTTGATGAGTCACTGGGATCTGCCCTTTCTGTTTTAATTACATGAATCTGGCATGGGTGTAGGATGTGAGAGGAAGAAAAACAGGCAATTTAGAGAGGAGTCTGTGTGTGGTGGAATCTGCTTTCCATGTGTGTTCAGTGCTTCAGATGGATGCAGTTATATTTAAGGAACTGAGGTTTAGTTCTTACTTCTTAAGTGACCTGAGACAAACTGTGTCTCTACGTGGAGTGTGTGTATAATGCCATTTTCCCCTTGGAGCTGATGGGAACTGGATATTAGTTCCCAGTACCATGTAAGGAACCCCTTTTATTCTCTGCTGCAGTTGTTCCCAGCACAGCCACGGTTGTCATTGTGGTCTGTGTGAGTTTCCTGGTGTTCATGATTATCCTGGGGGTGTTCCGGATCCGAGCTGCGCACCAGAGGACCATGCGTGACCAGGACACTGGCAAGGAGAACGAGATGGACTGGGATGACTCTGCTTTGACCATCACTGTGAACCCCATGGAGGTAACTTTGTGCAGCTGCTGTCCCTTCCCAGCTGTGGGGGGGTGACTGAGCAGAGTAGTAGAGCAGAACCAACCCCTGAGACATTAGCTGGGAATTTGGAATGAATGTGCCAAATGCCAAGAGCAGTTGTGTTTGGGATCTTGCAGGGTTAGAGCTTCATGGTACAGAGTGGGATTTTACAGATCAGTGTCCAACACTAGTGCTGCAAACTGCCTTAACCATCTTGTCCACACTACCAGGAATTGATTGTCAAAACATCTCTTTGATGTTTCCTTCTCCCATGGCTGACATCTGATAGTTAGAAAAGTGGGAACAAGAAAGATGTGTGACCTTTTCCAGTAGAATTTGCAGTACTGGATCACCCTTCAGAACCAGTCTGTGGAGTGCCAGGACTGACAGCAGTGCCACAGAGCTGTTGTGCAGAGCAGCACTATTTTCTGGTTGCCTCATTCCT